TTAGTAGTAAAAACCAGTTTGACTTGTTTTTCCTGTTTGTGTTTCATGTTGGTTGATTGTTCTTTCAGACGTAAAGTCACGGCTCGCAAGATGAACAAAAGTCAAGAGTGTTTAAAAGATCTTCCCCACAAGCATTATGACTATACTCTAGTGAGTAATACTTATATTTAATGTTTTACTATTGTTTTAATTCAAGACAGGGAGAGTCTTAGAAAATCTACCTTGTTTTCATGAACCTGCATCCAACTCATGCACTTTTCAGCACATGCAATCATTATGGCACTCATTAAAATGTAATTTGTCCTTATTGTATTACTAATATGTTTGTATACCAATCAGGTGTCTGGCGCATGCTGTGAAAATGTGATTGGATACATGCCGATACCAGTAGGCGTGGCAGGACCACTACTCTTAGATGGAAGGCTCTTTTACATTCCCATGGCAACAACAGAGGGTTGTTTAGTTGCAAGTACAAACAGAGGATGTCGAGCACTTTCAGTAAGTACATGGTGCAGTTTGTCATGAGTGTTGATTGACAGCCAAGCAATTATTCTGCCTCAAAACAATGACTGATACTTTATTATTTTAAAGGTTAGTGGTGGTGTAAGAAGTTCTATTCTTGGTGATGGAATGACAAGAGGACCTGTTGTGAGGTTTCCTTCTGCCATGCAAGCAAGGTAAATTCTAAAATTATTGTATCCTTTCAAGCAAAAACTACTGTACTTTCACATCATGACCGTGCTGTTCAGTTTTTCCAATTCATTGTTTTTTTTGCTTCAAAAACAGATAAAGAGGTTCAGTAACCATGCCATTCTTCTTTTCTTATGTAATAATATAAGATGGTTTTGTTGTTTTTAGTGAAGCAAAACTCTGGCTTGAAGATGAGTACAACTTTGATGTCATCAAACAGGCTTTTGATGGAACAAGCCGGTAATTGAATGAAATGTCTTTTCCTTACTTTCTGGCTATCTACATGTCAATCGTTTGATGATTCAGTCAAACATACAGATTCATTCAATGGGAACTCAATAATTTATTTTTATATCAATAATTTAATCATTCAATCATTGATCGTTTAATTAACCCAGTCAGTTGTCAGTTATAATACTCAATCATCTTGTAGGTTTGCAAGGTTAAAGTCCATTAARTGTGCCGTAGCAGGCAGACTTCTCTTTGCAAGATTTGCAGCCACAACTGGTGATGCAATGGGAATGAACATGTTATCAAAAGGAACAGAAAATGCATTAAAAGAACTYCAGCTACAATTTCCATGCATGGAGATTATTAGTCTTAGTGGGAACTATTGCACAGACAAGAAAGCAACAGCAATGAATTGGATAGAAGGAAGAGGGAAGTCTGTTGTTTGTGAAGCAATAATTCCTGGACATGTTGTGATGAAAGTAAGCAAATGATGATGATCCGCGATAATGATATGAAATTGTATGAAAATATTATACATTAAGTAGGGATTGTKGAGCTCTTTACTACAATAGGTTACTGATAAATGTAATTATTTTTTAGGTTCTMAAGACTAGCATMACGGCCCTGACAGARTTAAAYACAAGTAAAAATTTAGTTGGTTCAGCAATGGCTGGTGCAATAGGAGGTTTTAATGCACATGCAGCAAACATAGTCACTGCATTATTCATTGCCACAGGRCAGGTTAGTAGATAAAGAAAAGAMTTGTGGGATCCCTGTGGTACCAAGGCACAGGGATCCCAGATTGATTTATCAGGGCACAGGAATCCCAAAAGAGTATTYCATGGTAAATCAATCAATCTTWTATTCTAGGATCCAGCCCAAAATATGGAGAGCAGTAATTGTATAACATTATTAGAGCCTTGTGGACCAAATCATGAAGACCTATATATAAGGTAAGTAACATTTAAGATTTTTTTTAATTCTTGAAAACATGCTCACTCCACATCATATTGGTCCAAAAGAGAGCAACAATATGTTATATCCATCATTTAGTGTAATCATATTATGATATATTGTATCCTTTTTTGTAGCTGTACAATGCCATCTTTGGAAGTTGGAACTGTTGGAGGRGGCACTATTTTGCCTGCACAAGCATCTTGTCTGGAGGTATATTATTGTTATTATWGTCAGGGTTTGTCTCAATTGACAGTAGTTATCATAACTCAAAGCTAAAAGTAAACAATAATTCTCTGAAATTGCAATTTGATTTGCAGAAATTAAAGGGTATAATTGTTAACATTCATTTATTAAGTCTTAAATTCTAGAAAATATTAAATATAGATGATTTGTTTGTAGATGCTTGGTGTGAAAGGAGCTTCCAGCAAAGAGCCTGGTCAAAATGCTTCCCAGTTAGCACGTATAATCTGTGGGACGGTCTTAGCTGGTGAACTATCACTTCTGTCAGCATTAGCTGCTGGGCAACTGGTACAAAGTCACCTCAAACACAATAGGTACAAAGCTTTGTTATGAAGACTGTGCTCCACCCCTCCCCCTGTGTGTTAAGTAACAGGGGAGGGGTATGTGGGGAATGGATGTACACAGAGAATGTCCAAAACATCAATAACTTTTCATTGTCCTTTTATCACAACTGTGCCATTTCTTAATCACACATTTATATTACAATTTGCTTTGTTACTAAAGTATTTACATTTGTTTCTACAGATCTACTATCAATTTAATTAGCAACGATGAAGCAACCAAGAACTGTGCTGTATTATAACACATGAAAAAAATGAARTGAGACATCTAGATTGAAACTGTTACTGAGCCATGAAATAGAAACTACTAAGTGCTGTCAAAAACCTCAAGGCAACTTACAATATTTTCTAAACAAGATACATTTACTCATATATTATTGTAATATTAGTGTTTCTTAGTTTAGCCACCTCAGAAATACTGTGCCATGATTGTATTGCTCTGAAGATATTATTTTTATTAATATATTTTTATTATTATATTATTAGAGCAATGTCTCTCAATTTAGCAACTTCACAACAATAGCTTAGCTTAGCCTTTAAAGATCAGTAACATTGTTTCACAGTCCAGTGGCACTCACTCTAAGGATAAAAATTTGTAGTTTTATCATTCAAAACTATCTGCAAAGATTATTATTAATGATGCTGTAAATAAATCTATTAGAGAAATATGAGTAAATGATATTTTAAGGTGTTGATATCATGTAAATAAAGATTTTTATATTTATTGTGAATAAAAGCCATTCTTGGGTAGTGCTATGAGGCTTCGTCATTGCATTGTTGCTTGACTTGAAGTGTTATCACTGTTAAAACTGAAAATAAAATAAAAATCAGTTGAACATCATGATAGCTTCTTTTCAAAACCAAATAGAAACTGTGCATTTATTCAAATACTTAGTCACATGTAATTAAATTGCACAATTGTAATTTCTCCTGTTTTCTTCATTTTTTATTATTATTATTATTGACAACTGCAAACTATGCAGTTTTTCTTTCAAAGTTGATGGAAAGATATTTTTCAATCATTTCACTTCATACCTTGGAGAASTTGCAGAAGAAAACTTTTTGTTGAAGTCAATGCGCAGAAGTAACTGTGCCAGATGAGGAGTAGCCTGGTAGCCACGCACACTAGACAATATCTTGAATAACAGATTGGACTGGCGCTCATAATTCTACAATAAATGTGAATTGGAGTACTCAATATCTCTGGAGCATGAACTACAGAATCTGCTACAACATTTCTGACCTATTTTCTAGTCATTTCACTAACCTTGGAAATATTCTCAATCTGCACTTCCTCTCTTTCTGATAGTTTATCAGTTATTTGTARCAATAAAGAACAAAAACCTTGACAAAGAGTTAAGATTTCATCGAGACAATGRGCTACCTGAGACAACAATGGTAAAACAAAGTCTAAAACAATTCTTTTGTTTATTCATCCATTCATCCTGCATTTTTCATCCAGTTCTTCATTCATCTCGTTATTTTCTCATCAATTCATTCAGCCATCCATTCACTTTCTCATTTCACTATACTCACAGGTTTTAAAAGGAGAAATGACTGGGACATCAATGTGGTAACAAAATGATCATGTGCCAAGCGAACTGACTCAAAATCTTGAGTACTATTAATCTTTTCTATTAGCTGTGTGAACTGAGCTTCCAAAACATCAACCTGTTTTACAACACATCAAATCAAAATGATCAAAATAGTCATAGACAAACTTTGTGTTGGGATACCTGTGTCCACAGGGATCCTGATAATACTATGATTGATTACCTGAAGATAATATTGTAGATTGTCAACMAGGAAGGCCATGTGCATTCTAAGAAGCCAAACCCTAGTCATGTGACTAAAGTGGCTGGACTGGTGTTTCGTACCCATGTGTAGTGCCCAGACCCTTTGTAAATCTTGCTGGGTACGTTTGACATTCAAAAGATGACGGAATAGTGAATTGTATCTAAGAAAACAAATGTGCTGTCAGGTTTGATGTTTTCACTTACCTGGATAGCTTTATTTATTTACTCCCTAGAACAACAAGGCTGTCAACAGATTGCAGCTTTACCCATTGATTAATATCAAATATTAGTAAACTTACTTTTCTAATATTGGTTTCTGAAAAAGAATATGCAATGGCCACTGTACATTGTAATGGACATTCAAACATTCCCAGCCACTTATCACACCTTGGTCTACAAAAGAAAGAACATTAAGACGTCAAAAGAGCACTACAAGTGAAAAGTAAAAAAATATGAAACCACACAATTTATGAATGAATGGTTTGAATTGAATAAATGCATAAGGTTGAAAGAATGAGTCCTACCTTGCATTGCTTTTTTCTTGTTYTGAAAAGCATCCATGTCAACAATTAAAGTAAACAAAGAGCTGCTTTCATCATCATCAGGAATGAACTAGAATCAAATTACATCAAGAATAGAAATCAGCAATCATATTACTGGAATGTTATGAAAAAAAAATAAGGATGTCAAACCTTGTGTAAGACTTGCTGGAATATGGTATTTACATCTAAAATTAAATCATGAAATAACAATTACTATATCATCATCATTTATCAAYACTATGATTATTATCATCATCATTATCATCACTATCAATTTACCATGAGATGTGTTGGTAGTTGGAGGAATTTTKAGTAAATGCTGAGCATGCTCAGTGAAGTCAGAAAAAAGTTCCCCTCGGCCRAGCAAGAAGTAATCTTTGATWATCTAAGTGYAAAATCACAAAATTTGTTTTAGTTCTTGGCTTGTATATTGGAAAACAGTTGTCATATATAAAGAAGATGATTGTCTACATGAATCTTGCAAATTTGGTTGCAAGTCAAGCATTGAGAGTAAAACTACTAGTATTACTAACCTGTAAATGTTTTAAAAGCTTTGCATCCTCTACAACAAGCTTCCATAAATGCTGCAAAGATAGAAATGCTTTGCTGTTAGTTAGAAGGAAAAAAAATAAAAACGAATATAGGTGAAATATATAATATATCAAGCACATTTACCTGGGCTACGTATGTTCTTATTTTATCTATTTCACTTTCAAAAGCTGTTAAACTAAAGTGTGATCTTTGCTGAAGTGAATAAAGTGATCGTAGAAATTCCTCTTCCTTGTCATGTACAATAGATTCTACAAACATAACAAAAAAGCATAATTAAAGATAAAAATATTTTTAAGCAGATGGACACATTTATCACAACAATGTACAAGCTCACTTGATCTTCTTGTTTCTTTCCCTATCTTGGCGTCTTCAAACATTTTGACWGAGTCTCCCACAAAAAGAATCTAAACAGAAACAAATCAATTGAMAATTGAAAAACTCATACACAACATGTATCAAAACTATTTAATATAGAATAAGGTACCTTTTCAGCCACTCTGGTTGGTATGTAGGATGGTAGCATTTCTGCATTGATTTTGAACTGCCATAGAACTGGTATAGCCTGCTTGTTTTCTCCTTCCTTTAAAATAATCATTATTAATAATTATGATAGTAAATTATACATTGTACAAAAATATCACAGCAGTTCCAAGAAAAATCAATAAAATGCAAAAAAAAAAAAAAACTATGCTATCATTATCTAGTCAATAAAAATCAATAAAATGCAAAAAAAAACTATGCTATCATTATCTAGTAAAGAGTTTATATACAGCAGAAACAAGGCATTAAAGAGCTTTAAAAACCTACCATAATATCAGAAAGCTGTTTTCCTGTAACTCCACCAATTCCCAAATCACTGTCCAYGTTATCTTCGCTCTTTGGGATTTCAGTATTTACTGGGGTGGCTTTTGTGATGAGGAATTCATCATGGCTGTCAATCAAGAGACCATGCAGCAACCAGGCACTTAATTGCTGGTATAGGACACCATGGCAGACATAAAGAATCCTGTGTGGGGGTAGGCAAAGTGTTGTATTTTGCTTGCAAGATYTTAATAKACAGAGTCAGTTCTATTTCAAGTTCAACTCACCTTTCAAAAGCATCCTTAACATGAGGAATTCCACAAATGGATGACTTGTAAAGAAAGTCTAGTATTTTACACCCATTAGCCTGAAATCATAGTCAGATCACAGTAATTTTTCTTTATATTGGGCTTCCTGTGTCTTCTAATGAAGCTGAAGGAATCCCAATTTGAATTTACTTACCTTCTGACTTTGAATTTGATCAACTAAAGCAGCCAAAGATGGAAACAAAACTTGATACTTAAAGAAATTGCAAGAAAATATGTAAATTTGAATCAATTCATTTATCGATAACTTGAAAACTTCTTGACATTAATAAATTTCTTACTTCTTCCAATGAATGCTCTAYAAATGACAATGGAAGACACGGATCCTTTAACACCTAAAAATGTGCATAGGTAAGAAGCATTTTAGATTGCTGCCAATCAAAATATACCTTGATTGTAGGTGCAAAAAAACATAATTGATTGCTTGATAACAATAATAAGCTATTTCTCATGAATGAAGTACCTTATCTTCTATAAGTACCAGCTCATGTCTGTAGTCCTCGAGTATTTGTTCAAGCCCTGTACAAAATGCTTGAATATACAAACCGCTRGTYTCWTTAYTTCCTTTTGAACTGTCAAACACTTTGGATGCTTTTTCGATGAATTCCTGGAAGTTACAGTAGTAGGATCCTAGCCTACAGATTCTATTCAGAAGGGTTACTTCGCAATCGTGGATAAATGGCAAGTCTGCAGCAACCTACAAAGTTGTAGAAAAATGCGGGAAACATGGAAGTCATTTTTGCAGACCTCATTTTTGCAGACTGCGCAAGAAAATACAACTTTTCTAACTCACCTGAAGGTTGTTCTTTCCCTTCTTAATGAAAACACCTCCACAGTTGCCCGACAAGGCTAAAAGTAGCTCGTGTAGCATKGAAAACAACTTCAAAATAACTTTATCCAGTTCAAGTTGTCCGCCATTTTGTTTATGTCTTTTTGACATGCGCATTCCAGGCCCCACAARGCACCGCGCGCCTCTCGCTCGTTCTCTTTTCTGCTGCTTCTCTTGAGGTTTCTTCTCGATTGAGAGGAATCAAAATGAAGGTAAAAATAAAGGAAATTTGTAAGCAAGAAATAAAATGAAGGTTGTATAAGGTGCTTGGAACATTGAACATTTCCCGTACGGGTTGTTTTTGATGCGATGATCTTTGATTGCTCGGTAATACGATGGATTCTTATCGGYCTCGAAAGTTGACTTGAGCTACAGACGATAGCCAACTATAACCCAACTTTAATTTAGTTTTTACTTACATTCGCTTTTCGTCGTCTTTTTTTCCAACCATTTGATCCCAAAAGACAAGCATATTCCTGCCATAAGCAGTATATAAAAGTAGATCTTTGTAATATTTCATTTGCTTCTCTTCGAATGGCAAACTTCTTTAGGAAAATTTACACGTGAATACGTGAAATATCCTGTTAATTAGACATTTATAAATATTTTTGGTTCCTTCCTTATTGTGGAAGATGTTTCTTTACCTGTTCAAAATTTGTTGATGTAATGTTTTTTTTCTGTTTAGCTCAATATATCCTATCCCAACACTGGTTGCCAGAAGTTGATCGAAATCGAAGATGAACGCAAAGTGTAAGTGATCTGCTTTACCAAATAAATTCACGAAATTGAATCTGTATATAATAGAGATTGTACATAAACTTTATTTCTTGAATCATGTATTGCTATGCTTTRGCTGCAACCATATAACCAAGAGTCCCATGAGAAAATTGCTGCCATSTTGGGCGACGAGTTGTGTGACAATTTAGCATGTGATTTTTTTKATATTTGCTTATACAAATCGTCACATACTAAATTGTTTCTTAAAGTTGCTTGTCTAGATGCAGCTGTACAGTCTCCTGATGAAGCGCATTCAAAATTGTAATTTATAGTGTCAAAATGATTTTCTTCCAACAGACGAAGCTTCTATGAGAAGCGTATGGCTATGGAAGTAGCTGGGGATTGTCTTGGCGATGAGTGGAAGGTATGATGTCTTGTTTATTGTTTGTATGACTTCGTTATACCCATATAATCATAATAGTTCCTTACCAGTCAGGTCCTCATCAAGGTTTAAGCAAAAATGTTTTCATTCTGGCAGCAATGTTAGTGGTATTAACAGTAAATTCTTATGACAAATTGTTTATTGAAATACCAACAACATTGCTCCATTGAGTGGTTGAACATTTTTTTCTAATTGCACATAGCAATTATCGCACATAGCAATTATCCCTACGCCATATTGGAAGGTAGCTGTGCTTTTGCACCCTCAATGGCTGCCTCGCTTCGATGCAAAGGAACGGCTACCTTTCAAGATGAAACTGCAAAGGAGACTATTTGTCTGGATTAGTTGGGAGGCAATGTAAGTGGATGAGACATCCATACCACTTGTAACTATCAAGTCTTTGTCACTAGTTCCCATCCATAATGTATATGATGTGTCTGTTTCAGGGCTATGTGTTTAGAATCTCAGGTGGTAATGACAAACAGGGATTCCCCATGAAACAGGGAGTGATGACCAAYGGTCGTGTCAGACTTCTGTTGTCCAAAGGACATAGCTGTTACAGACCGCGACGTACTGGTGAGCGAAAGCGCAAATCAGTCCGTGGTTGTATTGTTGACTCCCAACTCAGTGTACTTAGCTTGGTGATTGTCAAGAAAGGCGAACAAGACATTCCTGGACTAACCGACACMACTGTCCCACGCCGTCTTGGACCCAAGAGAGCTGGACGCATCAGGAAAATGTTCAACTTGAGCAAGGAAGATGATGTCCGACAGTATGTYATCAGGCGACCACTTCCTGAAGTTGAGGGCAAGAAACCCAGAAGCAAGGCCCCTAAGATCCAACGCCTTGTCACACCAGTTGTCTTACAGCGTAAGCGCAAGCGCATGGCTCTCAAAAGGCAAAGGGCCCAGAAGGCTAAGCAAGAGGCTGCTGATTATGCCAAATTGCTTGCCAAACGTGCCAAAGAAGCCAAGGATAAGCGACATGACACCCTAATGAAGAAGCGTAGAGCATCTAGCTTGAGAGATTCTGTCAGTGCAAAATAAATGTAATAAATTGAGCTTCACATTGAAACTTTTGTGTTGATTCATTTCATTTCATGTGCAGACTCTGATGCAAATGAGGTGATTATGAGAATAACAGATTTAAGTGAAAACCAGACTTGACACTTTCAGCTTTGGAAGCGCAGTGTTTATTGAGTGGGGTAGGGAGAAGTGCAAGCTATGAAAATTCACTGGGTTTCCAAGGTTTAAAATTTGAATTGCTRGAGTCCTGGCTTCCTTTGCTTGACACAAGTATGCCAGGGTTCAAATGGCTGTAAGAAGACTTATTTTCTGGTCACTAGTGATTTTCATTTGACAGTGAAAGAAAAARGATAGCAAATGATCATGATCAACTGAAAACATTCASTGACGAGAAACACCAGGTTAACAATAYAATCTTTCATGGTCAAATRMAAATCRTACAGTACACAGCTYAACTAGACTGAAGAACAACTTCAACATYGTTAAAAGAGTGTTAGCTTTATTTACAATCTAAATATTGAATACCATTCACAACACTTCTTGAGATGATAATAACAGACTGCAGGGATAATATTGACAATATTGTTGATAAAATTCACATGTGAATAATGTACACTGGCCAATGGTCATCTTATTCCACTCCTGTAGTCAAATATTACTTTGGATAAGAGAGCATTCCATTTTGAGAGAAAAACTACTTCTTTTCAACTGGTTCTCTGACTAAACTTAGGAGTTTGTCCATCTTTGCTATCTCGTTTTCTGGTCCCTTTGCTTTTTCCTGCAACATGATCAAAAATAGAAAGTTAGATTATGTTTGAGTCTTTTTTTGTCAGGCTGAAATGGTACAAACTGGATTTCCATGCATAATTTGCATAGAACAATGTTGTGACAGTTGACTTTCCAGGTTACATTGAGACATAACTGGTGAGGTATAAGATAAACTAGCAGGCATCTCCCTTTTCCAGTTTTTATATACTTTCGTTTTCTCTGCCTCATTACTAGTCCTGCTCTATTGCTGATCTAACACAGGAAGCCCACTATTTTTAGAAAATGTTTGGAGAATGTACCATACAAAGAGGAAGTAATGAAAGAGGTAAACCAGCTGACATGAGGTAAAAAACAAACAGCCTATCCAACAAGATGCAACCTGACAGATCATTTCAAAGGAAATTGTGACAAGCATGCAAGCAGCCACAAGACTGCATCATACATGCAGAGCACAAACAACCACAGCGAGAAAGAAAGACAAATGAAATACCAGATTTGATTTCAAAGGAAATACGAGCAGTGGAAGTAGCAGAAGAAGAGGGTTTTTGAGTTCCAGTTAGAGGAGCATCTTCTGGATCTGCAAGACAGTCATCCTGCACAACAAATAAAGGATTTGAAACTGCAGATAGGATTAGTTTTTAGAAATCTTCTTCATAGTTTTCATAGAGCTGTAAGTATTAAGCACATATCATGGGGATATTATGGGATTATGGTACAAACAGATAAAAACACTTCAGCCATGAACAAAAAAAAAAGAAAGCATACAAAATTATTAAAGTGAAGTCAGATGCAAACAATACGACAGGTATATAAACCATTTTACTGTTCATCTAAAAAGAATTGATGTGTAAGAGACAGACAAACAAATAATGTGGAATTGGAGTCAAAATTATAAGAACTATACTGACAGTAAGTCAAAATTGACTCTAWGTAGACCATACCTTTGGATGTGTAGCTTTCCTCAGATTCGGTGAAAGCTTCAAAGATGTTACATAACCCCTGAAACAATTAGGGAATGAGTAAACATACCTTGATAAGAAATGGAAAGTTTCTTAAAGTGATACATACCTGTCATCACCAACTATTACAATGGGATGAGCAGGGTTAAAAGTCAGGTGTGTCAATTTTGATTTCTTCTTTGCAACAACTGTAAATAAGAATATTAAATAAAGTATTTAATGTTGGCAGTTCTTTCAGCATAATCCATTGTACTGGGTGATTTTTGTTTAACTTAAAGGTAAAGCAGGAGCAAAAAGTAAACTGMAATGGCTTCATAGTGTACATGTACAAATCTAATGAAAACTGCTGTAAGCAAGAGATATCAAGCAATAAAAAACTTACCTGATTGCTCACAAAGCGGCTCATACTTATTGACATTAAGATCATAAACATGGACCTGAAAGATAGTAACATCATTACAATGACTGGAAGTGATTCAAAAATTACACGTTTTG